CAGAAAAAAATGTTTTGGATTGACGACTCATTGAGAACTTTGAAAAACCTCCCGCTGAAAATAATGTCTTTTTTTCACAGTGGTGAAAAAAGAAAAAAAAAAAAGAAAAAACAGCTGAGAGTCTTTCCAACTCAGTGAAGTGTCGCGAGCGTATGACCATGGAGTTTCTTTTCCATATACACGGCTGAAACTAATCGAGCATTTGATCTTTCCCAGGGTCTTTTTTTTGAAATTCGGAATACTTTTAAACAGACCTATTAATTGAAGGAGAAACTGTTGGTAGGTACTCTGATTTGCCAAAGTTTATCTAATCTCATTTGTCTTCTAAACTTAACAGTGATCCGGCCTTGCGTTTAACCTTAGCTGTATTAGAGGAAGGTTTGCCTGAGTTGGCTAGTTCTATGGTCGATATTGAACATAATGGTCGTGACCTAAATTGTCAATATTTTGCTTGTGGCTCCGGAAATTGCACAGGAAGTAATATTTGTTTAGTGGAGCATTTTGCTTCGCTTAGATTCTGTTTCTCTAGCACTTAATTTACCGGGCCTGCTCAACAATCAGCCCTTGCTTTAATAACATGTCCAAATGCCACATGTAAACAGGTAGTATCAATAGACCCTTTAGATAGATGTTTTGATAACGAAGTAAGTCTTCTGTGCTCTAAGAAAGTTTTAGAAACAATTACTAGCTTCAATGGTAGAGGTTTCGCCTGGAATCCAGAGATAAAAATATCATTTCTATGTTCCATCTAACTCTCCGAATATCAAAGTGCCTCTTTCCCAAACCTATCGCGTATGCAATCACTTGGACAAACCAAGAGGTATTTTCTCGTAATGTAAGTACCAGAAGTTCAATTTAAGGTAAACAGTGTCATATTTTCAAATTGATCGACCATTTTCGTTTCCTTTTAGTTTTAGGTCTGTTCGTGAGTTTAGTCGAACGACGCTGCTATCAGCTGCAAGATGAATGATCATTCCGTTTGTTCGCCTTTGTTTGTTGTGTGCTACAAGACCACACATATATATTTATACCTTTATAGTAATGTGTACTCGACCGTTGTAATGGGTCTTTATTCTCGCACGACATTCATCATCGTTAATTATGCGCAATTTGGGTTTGTCCGTGACCTTGATTATAGTCCTCCACGGGAAGTTTTGTTTCGGTTTTAGTTCTCGAAGATTGCTTGTATTTTAAGTACTTTGTTGTCCGTTTCGAATTTTTGTGAGATTGTTTTGATTAGCGTTCTAAAAGTATGTTTACTCAACCAAAGTCAGATTTCCGTAAGCCCAAACATGTCTACTAATAGGGTATTCAAGAGCATGTACTTAGGGCTGAATTAGAGAGAGAGAGACAGAGATAGACACAGCAGAGACAGAGTCTCAGAGAGTGAATTGAAATTGTTGAGCGGACTCCTGGTGCCTCGCGTTTGCTCGTGGTGTGCGGGCCAGTTGACGCCAATAGTTCAAACCTTCGATTGCTGTTGTATTTGGTTCTTTTCTTTCTTTCTTTCTTTCTTTATTTATTTTTTATTTATTTATTTATTTATTTTATTTTAATTTTTTTTCATTATTTTACTGACACTATGTTTCAGGTTTGAATCGAAGTAAAAATCCAATATATGATGACTTACAATTTAGTCCACTGGCTCCGGATCCAACTTTTTCAGCGGCAGGAATGTCAGGTGTAAAAGCCGTCTCGGTCTGAACCTGGGACAAATATTCTCCTTTATTTGTTGATAATTGTTGATTCTCGTCTGTTGAATGGTAGCATAGAATCGTTATTAGTTTTACGTGCTAATCGACTAACGTGACAAGGGATTTCTAGCCCGTCCCAGTTCTGACTTTAGCGGTCGTATAACGCTTTGTCTACCAACCAAAGAGCTTATTGGCGAGTAACACGTCCACATGCGGCAAACATACCAAGGCATCCTCTAGAGGGTCCTAATTCAGTTATCGATCAAATCTTTTTACAATTAATATTTATTTTTTAATCTCCTCAAATTGATCAGATCCTAACAGCACATGTACACACACCTCGCCTACGAGTTCACTGTGGCTCAAATAGTACGCATCTGTTTAAAAATTGATTTTTTTAAAAAAGCAAGCAGCTACCGTGTACAATTCCAAGTCTTTGGAAAAACTGCCGATCAGTACACATACCAGCAGCTGTTTCTTTCCTTGCTTTATTAGATAGCTTCAATGATCAACTTACGAGCAACGAGAAAATTTTTGCACGCCAAGTAATCCTCTTCCAAAATTGTTGTTTTCAAGCTGACAGATGTCACATTATATCTTCTCTTCATGTCATCTGTCAAAAAGTAACTCTCAGCAGTTGTATTAAGACAACCGGAGGTGTATTCCTCCCATAGGCACTGAAGAACTTTCAATGTACGACACTCCACTGTTATTTTTAAACTTCCATCCTCTGCCGCTTTTACATTTAATCCAAGTGACTGAAGATGATAATAAAGGCCATGGGTTGTGTCCTTGCCTTCCATATTTGAACGAAACTGTTCGCGCACCTCGGACATCATCTGCCGCTCTGTTTCGTCTTCTTTCGAAAGATCTTCCCTTCGAGGGTTCGAATACTTTGTATCAGTTATTTTCAAAACAAGGCATAGCAAACCTAAAAGACAGGATCAAAATTGTCCAGATTCGAGATGAAAAAGTCATTTTATCGAATTGAGCTTCAATTTCAGTAGAATTACGGCATAAGAGCTAATCTAAGGTTAGAATATAGTTAGAATTCTAGAATCGTATTTAAATAGAATCAAAGAGGATGAAGATTGTTGTAAAGTAGAGACAACGTTTCTTTCGCTAATGTCCTAATTTCTATATCACAGTGTTACACGAAAATGAATAAATAAACCATATATACAGTAAACGCAAAGGACGTACACGCAACTATTTAAATTATGCAGACATCATTAGGATAGTTCTTTTTATCTCAATCACACGGAGTATGTATATGGTATATAAAATTCATCCCTCCTTTCAAAGATCTAGTCTGACCAGTGGACGACGGACTCGTCTTTAGAACGGTAAAGAGTTCAGGTTCAGGCCCCGTTTCTACATCAGACGCTGGACTCGAACGTGTTTTAGTATTGGCTTCGCCATGGGACGTGTTCTCTCCTGCTTCTGGAGCAACTGGGCAAAGAGGTTGTAACAATTTGGCTTGGCCCTTAGGTGCAAGGTGCTTGGTGCTTCTATAGTCTCACTACCATCAGGATACTGCACATGGGCGTGGTGACGGTTTTCCTGGAGCAATACCACTTCATCAACCAAAGGTTCCGCCTCGTTGGCGTGAACTTGACGTTTCAGGTGGACGAGTTCAGATGTAGCTAGCTAATTGGAAATGGAGGCACCAGAGGAAAATCGTCGAGAGATACCAAAAAAGCGCTCGTGTGGTGTTTCATTGGTAGCTGTACATAACAGGGAAAGGATAGAATGCAGAACGTCGAGAGAAACCTTGCCAATTCTTAGATGCCAGGTTCTTGGATTTCAGGCTCATCGTGATTTCCTACCATAATACTCCATTGCACCTTTCTGCTTGGCCATTTCCTTCGGGGTTATAGCTCATGTTCCTACTTGTGGCAACCCATTTTGTTGTTAAGAGGTCTCGGAACTCTTTGCTCATGAAGGATGCCTCTCAATCAGAATGGACATACGCTAGCATTCCGACGAGTGAGAAAAGTGAATTCAGCCACTTAATAATCATGCTTCTCGACGCATCGGATAGGGAAAGACAAACGGAAACCTAGAGTACTGGTCGACCACCATGAGGAAATACTTGTTTCTGTCGTTGGTCGGTAGTGGGCCTTTGAAATCGATGTTGATCCTCTCAAATGGCTGGGTGGCCTTGATAAGGGGAATATTCTCTAGGCGGTAGAACTGAGGTTTGCATTCACAACAAACAAGGCACTTCTTTGTAATCTTCTTTATCTTTTCTAGGGAGAAGGTTAAGCTCTTGTTTCGTACAAAATGGTTTGATTTTGTGATCCCCGGATGGCAGAGGGACTCGTGAATCGCATAAACTGAGTCCTCAGTTGCGGTGGCGCACGCAGTAGTAGCGCATCTGGCTCTGGACATGACATCTGGTGCGACTTTGTCACTTAAGGGCGATAAATTATGTCAAGGCTGTAGCAAGAGAGTTCAAGTCTCCAGCTTAGGAATTTTGTTTTCTTTATCCTTCCTTTGTGACGTTTGTCGAACACGTGGGATACTGACTTCTGATCAGTCTTGAGAATTAAGTGTCTTCCAGTATCTTACGACCTCAATTATTGCCTGTGCTTCTTTCTCTACGGATGCATGCTTAAGCTTACTACCTTGAAGGGTTCGTGAGAAGAAAGCTACAGGTCTACCATTTTACTAGTGCTACGTCTGAGGCATCCGTTTCTTCCTCAAAGGGAATGGTCTCGTAAATTGCGGTGATAACGGCTTCCTCTGCCGTCTTCTTTAAACTTTCAAATGCCCCACCAGCTGGCTGTGACAGAGGGGATGATCTGTATTCAGCAAGTGGTTTGACTCGATCTGACTTGTCAGTGTTGTAACAGATGTTCTTATACTCAGCAGCCTCAAGGAAACGTTTCAAGTTCGTGTTCCTCTTGGTGTTTACCACAAACAGTTACATTGTCAAGGTACGGAAAAACTGCCTCAAGATTATTCTCTGCAGCAAACTTCATCATCTCTCTCTGGAGACAAGCCACACCGTTAGTGACGCCAAATGGCAAGCGAGTAAAGTGATACAAGTCGTGCCGAGTTTCCAAGGCTGTGTACAGCTTGTCTTCATCCTTAATTGGTACTTGATGATACGCACTTTGGAGATCAATGGTGCTTAAAACTCGGTACTGGGCGATCTTATTGAACATATCGCTAATTCTCGGCAAATGAAAAGTGTCGGGTAGAGTAAACCTATTAATGGTCTGCGAATAGTCATTTGCCAACTTCTTTTGGTGATTTCCATCCTTAGTTACCACGGCCCGTGCTTGCCATGAGAGTGACGTTGTTCTATTATACCTTCCCAGAGTAATCTCTTCACCTCTGCGTCAATAAAGGTGAAATCTTCTTGGCTGCAAAGTCGAGACTTAAGTGGCAATTGGATGGCAATCCGCAGTCAGGTTTCCAAATGGCTCAGGAGGTTCAACACTAAGTTCACTAAAACCACAGACAGACAGGGGTGGTTTAGTGCCTCCATGATGAAACACGACGCTTGAGCGCCGAGACTGGAAGTCAAGACCCGCTGTGAAGTCAGCACAGAGGCCAGGTAGGACAAGTAGCTTGAAACCGTCGTAATTGCGTCCTTGATAGGAAAGATTAGGTGAACATGTTCCTTTGACCTTAACAACGATAGATGCAGAAGTAGCCATGGATACCGTACCAAATGAAGGATAAATTGTCAGGGCTACTTTGTCCACTAGATTTGGATGTATAAAACTTTCACTGTAACTACTGTCTAAAAGGGCTTCAAATTGAAATCCTTCAATTTCAGTAGTTCTTGATGACTTTGAAAGAGAGGCTGGAGTGCTTGAAGAGACCGTGGCGAGTGTCGGAGACAGGCTGCAGACTTTATTCTTACTAACAGTCCTTCTACGGAAAGCACTCGCGAAGTGACCTCTCTTATGACATTTTGAGCAAAGTGCATCGCGAGCTGGACACTTAGAGCGAGGATGATTATCGTTTCCACAGAGGCAGCAAGTAGAGCCTTTAGTCCCTATTGCTGATAAGGTGTTGGGATCTGGTTCTTGTTCCGATGTGTGAGCAGTTGTTAGTGGAACTGCAGCGTTTACAGATGAGGAAGGTACGACGTACGATTCAGAACTTCACACGGCTGTTTCAAGAGTCCAAGCCTGATCAAACATGGTTTTTAAATTGAGTGTATTATTCTCCAATGATTTTTGCTGGATTGAAGGGGACTGTAAACCAGTGATGAAGGTGGCCATTATACCTTTTCGCGATACTGTATAGCTGCTACACTTTGGAAGTTACATTCCTAGCTGAACGTCTTTAGAACTTTCAACGAGTATTTCGTGAGGCTGTTGGTGTCGTGTAACAAGGATAGCGCCTCTGATTGCTCAGTTAACTCTACCTTGCTACGTTGTCTTAAAATAGCTTCTACGTTTTCCCCGACGAGTATGGTGGGCGCGACAAAATAGTTGGAAGACCTTTAAGACTATATGACAAGATATACAGGTTATGCTACGTAATATTTGTGCAAAGTCCTTCCCTCAAAGCTCTGTGGTTCGCCCAGCAAAGTAGCCATAAGAGTCTACTAGGAAGAGGGCCTCAACGAGATTTACAAGGAAGACTACAACGATATATCCCCTTCCAGCCCTCTAACGGAGTCAAGAGTTCAAATTTGTGGCAAATACACAATAAAACTGTTGACTGGAGTATCAACCACATGGAAAAGAATCAAGCAGGAAGAATAATAGAACTAGTATTAATCAAAGCTCAATGAGTAACGTTAAATTATCACTCAGGTGTTATCTCGTCGATTAAAAATTAGAAATAGCATTTCGAAGCTGGGATCGTCTTGTATTGTCCTGTTGCAAGTTTACCTAAAAAGAACCTTTGGAAAGATTTATCAGTAAGATTTTAACAAAAGTTTAAAACCTGTCTTTTGAGCCTGTGAGGAGGCTCTCGTATCTGGGTTGGCCTCACGACCCCTTTTGGACACAACCGCCTATCACACCATCGACAAGCGCTTGAGGAAAAAGGCACTGAAAACCTTGTGCTCTTTCATCGAGTACAAAGAGGAATATCGAAGGATATCGGGGCAAATTAAAAGAGCAGCTATGAGTATTCTTCAAAGGGCGTAACTACCGCTACAGCCTGACATAAGGAAGGAAATGCAAGACGCGCTTACACTTATTTAGGAGGAACGGTCAATCAAGGCTCTCTCAGGAGGCAAAGAGAACACCAAAGCAGTAATGAATACGGAGACCTACTAAGCCAAGACGCCTTCCTTCGTTGAGAATGGACTGTGCCGAGTCATAAAGAAAGATCTGAAAAAGCGTGTCTCTCGAACCTTGAAGGGTATTGGATAACTACTAGAAGACAATCAAAACGAGATCAGACTTTGACACAAACATTCCCCAGAGTCTACAGTTTGCCAAAGGTCCACATTCTGTCATCTGTGATTACCTCTGGTATGATTAATCAGATATTTGGCTGTTATCTTCCCCCTGTGACTAACACAGCCTTTCTCGTATTGGCCATCAACAGCAAAACAATCTTAGACAACAACATCTTGGAAATCTTCGTTAGTCCTGTGTCATAACTTTCCTATCGACGCCACTGTAAAAGGTGCTTAATAGGAACAGGAGAACGACTTAGGCCTATCCGACTGCACGGCGCTTATACCTTTTCACATTCCTGACTTTCTAAATTTCAGTGCGACGGATCTATTCACGAACTAAGAGAAAGCTCAGCCATAAAAGTCCGCTTTCCACTGTAACATCCATAAGTACAGTTCCCAAAAAACAAGCAATAACTACATCATCCTACAGGCCCAGGATCTGAAAACGCTACATATACAATCCATCGTGGATCAAAGGAACGTCGATAGCTAATTACAGTATCTGAACAACTGAAAGCTTTTTTTTTTCACTGTAAAAGAGACACAGAGCAATAAGAAACTCGCCCTCTTAAGAGAATGAGGCGGTCATCTCACCACTGGCGTATTCAGGAGGCGTACCTAAGCAAACCAGTACTTGGCGTAGAGTAAACATCATCCATAATATGTTAAACGCGATATTGTTCTTTAAGGTGGATATCTGCTCAAACAACTTCGTGGCAGCCTACAAGGCTTACGCTCTGTTTTCAAGTCAAAGAGTATCCTTTGATCACATTTGGGATGGCCAGGAGATGTAGTTGGCCCATTAAACAAGACAGCTAGGCTTACAGGGTTCCATGGGACTGCGGAAAGGATGATATCGGAAGACTGGCAAACCTTTGATGCATTACGAAACATTCGACATGGAGGCACACCTTCACTGTTTCGGAGCACACCCAGAACTTCGGACACCGCTTCGAAACAAGGTAAATTTTATCGAATGTGATTCCCATTTTCACACGCACTAGTAGAGGTCGCGAATCACACGAGACTTCACTCTCACAACACCAATGTCAAGAGTGGAAAAACTTGAGATTTG